ATATATGTAAAAATATGGTGGGACTTGAATATATAAGTACATGGTGGACAAGGGCCACCTGTATACCACCTGGATTGATCTCCAGAAACTGTTGGATGTAACATGTGGTCTTTTTGCCTGCCATGCTTGATGCAGATAACAGGCACATACAGCATGGAGTCAGAGTGCTTGCGGGATTAAGTATGTTTGAAATCTCTGCATGCATGGGAGAATCCACCACAAAACACCATGGAATGGTCATGATCATGACTTCTTGGTTGATCCTTGCATCATAAGCATGAGCACCTTGAGTGCTTGAAGTGCTGGAATATGGAGGAAATCAGGCATTGGTGTATAAAAACCCCAATCACCTAGTGTTTCAGAGGTACATACTTTAGCTGATCCACAACATGATCACCAAGCCCTAGGGCAGAAGCTGTGTTTGATGTTGCAATAAATAAAGTTGAAGTCAAGATGAATGAGTTTTTGAGACAGGCCAGACATATTTATGTAGTATGATATGTGCTTGTTCCATTGTTTGCTGATATTACCAGAAGTGTCATCAACATACAGCATGGATTCAGAGTGCTTGCGGATTACGGGTGTTTGAAATCTCTGCATGTGTGGGCAAATCTGCCACAAAACACAATGGAATGGTCATGATCATTACTTCTTGGTTGGTACTTGCATCATAAGCATCAAGCTTTCATGATTTCCTGAAAGACCGTCACAGACAGGACCCCCATGATCCTCAGGCCCGACTCTGGCTAGCTTATCATTGGGATCAGAAGTATCAGAATAGTTTATTTAACCCATTTTCAAGGCTCCAAGGTCTGTTTGTGTTGATATCCATCAGGTTTTAAAGCATGATCACTAGCTGAATCTTTCACCACCACCAATTAGTATTTGATGGCCATAAGGACACCCCAGTAGAAACATTACATGTGGTTTTCTTATGGGCCATAAAGTATCTTTATTGTGATTGTATTGCCAAGCTTTCAGATAAGCCAAAAGAAGAAGTGAAAACACGATGGAAAGACTTTGATACAACTTGTTTAGGCCAAGATCATGTCCAGGCCAGGCGCATGGTGGTGCATGCTCAGAGCCTGAATGGAAAAGAATTTTGCATGGTCTTTCAAGGAGCTCTGTTTGTGCTGGGACCTCTCATATCTCCACTGTATAGGGCTACATGGTGTCACCTTGGACACATTGCAACCATGGTCTACCAGCGCGAGATCAGGAATATGGACCAGTACTACAAAGGACTTGATGCCACTATTGATTGTTTCTTGATGTGTGTGACACCCACAGCTTAATGGCTCAGCAAGCCAAAATTTCATATCTTTAAACATTTCACTCAGTCCATTAGGCAATTTGGACCTGCTAGCTTGTTTGCAGCTGAGTCTTTTGAAAGGCAGAATGGGGTCACTCACAATTACATACTGTATTCACTCCAACAAGCACAATCCAACCTTTGACATTGCAAACACTGCCAACAGCTACCATGCACTCAAGCATATTTTATCTGCTGGCTTGATACAACATCCTACATGTAATGAATGGATGCCACCTGTGCCAAGAATTATTGATTTTTTTGTGAACAACTGCCCCCTTTGTTTCTCTTTGGATTACAAAGCACTCCAGAATAAATATAAAGAATTCAATAAAAAAATCAATAAAAAACCCACACTGAATGCTTGCTTGGGTTTATATTGGGTTTATATTTAATAGATGTAAGCCACCTCTACAAGCTACAACCTCAACATACTCAGAAGTTTCTCAGGAACATATATCACTAAGAAATTTAATGAGGATATACAACTAACATTCTTGATACACAGAGCATTCAAATGAGTTACATAAGATTTATGTACCATCACTGCTTGAGTGACCCATTCCTCAGTTAGCTGAGCTGATGGGTTGGAGGTGAGGTTCTTTGAGACTAGCCTCCTTTACCTTTTAAGAACATCCCCTGGTATCCTCTTACCTCATGTGTGGCTGAGCCCTACCACACGCCCTTTTTTTGGGCTGATTGATCCAAGAGCACACGGTAGGTGGCTGCACACCATGTTCCCACACACCCTCCTGGATCTATGGATGTGGCATGTTGTCCTGAACTCACTGGTAGCTCTGGGACCCCTTTGCTGGGCAGCTTGATTTCAGTGCCTAGCCTCCTAGAGCTACCCCAAAACGCTGTGAACTTGGTACAAATGTAGTAAATAAATGATGATTTATAACACTACAACAAAGGTATAAGATGCGAAAAAGGGAACAACAATCCCAAAATCATCTGTGAGTATATATATATTGATGTGTAACAACTCTTACAATGGTCAACAGCCCTCAAAACCAATCAATTTTGACCAAAAAATCCTAAAAAACATGTAATGACACATTGTAATGACTTAGTTACTAGTAGATGATGTGATTTACACAGCCAAAGTGATCAATGATGTAATTGGATGATACACAGCACTGCTTATGATGAATACAGGTGATTTTTTCCTTGTAAACCGGCTGATAACCTATTTTTGAAGTCACAGGTTTTTTCAAGAAGATGTCAAAATCTTGATAACTAAAGGGCATCTTGTAGAGCTCGTGATACTGATCAATATATGGTGCCATGTCAGGTACCTCTGATGAGTAATGGATGAAGGTTTTTGTATGTAAATGTTGTTACATGTATGCATGTAAGTGTAAAATTCAAAGTCCACACCAATTTCTTATTTCTCTTATACCTTTCTTCACACACCTCTGTTACTAACAATTTAAAGTTTGTACATTATGTAATCCACTCTACCGTGTTGAATGAGCCATGCACCATGCAATTCTATATGTAATAAGCTGAAAACCTTCATTTTTGACAAAATTCACACCTTTTTCCCCTTTCACACAGCTATTGCTCCTACTCTCTTGCGCCTGTAATTTTACATCATCATCTATAGCCTGAAAGCTCCCGGAAAATCATCTTGGCAACCTTAAATATTACTTACACCACCATTACATATGTAAACTACCTGTAAAACCCTTCTTTACCAACTTTCAAAAAGTACTGTTGTCTTAATAACTCCCATTCCTCCTTTTCAACCATCAAGATTAAAGTTGTAACTGTATAGAATAATGCTGTTCTTTCATATCATAACCCCGCAAAACCCATAAACCTAACATCAATACCCTAAAACCCAATTCCAAGCCTGTTTACCTATGTTTTTGAATTTTTTGTATGTTTTTCTTTCTTTTCTTTTCACAATGTTTTTGTTAATCATTCATGTTGGTTGTGATAATTTTTTTGAAATGAATGAACTCACAACAATACAATGTGCATTTTCTCAGCCTAAAAGATCTTCTATTTATCAGATTCCATCAATTTCAAGTTTTTCTTTGCATTGAACTTTTCTAATAACTTGGTAACCTACCAATGATTAATTGTCTTTGATTGATCCCATAAATTGATCACCACAATGTCTGCCACTTGACCCAAACAACCACACCCAGCAACTCCACCAAATGTCACTCTAGTGTCTACTATTACTTGGTGATCAAAGTTTAGGACCATAAGGTAGGGCCATTGGCTCATCAATGTAGGAATTTGATGATAGGATTTAGCCCAGTCAAAAACTCCCAAAAGAAGTTCTCCCTCCCTCTGTGTTTAAAAATAAAAAAGCCACTCTTTTGAAATTGTCTCACAAGGTAATAAAATCATCTTTGTCTACCAATGCATTGACTGTCTAATTTTTGGGTTACTTTGGAGGAATGATGAGTCATTAATTGTCCTAAGGGAACTGTCTCTGTTCACTACTACCCCCATTGGGTTTGTCCGGAAGAAACCTACTTTCCTAAACCCATCCTCTTTTTTGAATGGACCAAACATTCTTCCAGCCTCAATTTCATTTCTAAAATTTTCTTCTATTTCTTTCTTAGCTGCTATCAATGAAACATTGTTTCTGGGAAAAGGTAGTTTGTTCCTGGAATTGTGTTTTCTTTGATTCCTTGATGAAACCCCGTCACAAAACCTCTTAGGATGTGTTGATTTTCTTCAAAAATCCCTAACTTTCTCAGTTCTCTTTCCCAAACACTTACCTTCATTCCATTCTCTACGTGGTGATATCTGTAGAAGAGCTTTACATAGATATTCTAAGTCATATTGCAATGTGTTACAGATTCCTCATCTAATCAGTAACTAGCAATCCTAGGCAAACCAAAACTACCCAAGAGAGGGAGGCTGAGGTTTCTTGGGGGGGCCCCTCCGCTGAGCTGAGGGGGGTAGGACCACTAGCACTGTAGATGGGGGAGCTCTTCCCCTTGACTCAGGGCAGCGTCCTGAGCCTGAGAACGCCCATCTACGGTGTCCTGGGTCAAGCCTATTAATGGTCATTCGAAAAAGACAAATTATTCCTCCACCAAAAAGAAACCTCTAGGATACTCCATTTTCTAAGATAGATTTCAAACAAGAAAAAAACCTAAAAATGATTACAATGACAACTTGTATTTGAGCATCGCAGTTTAGCCCTTTAACTCTTTCAAAAGCTGCACAGTAGACCGAAGTTCATCATCATTAAATTCTCTGATGTAAAGTTTATACGCCTTCGACCTCCATTGGCCAACTTTCACAATTTCCTCCAGAGGACTATCTAAATTCCATTGTAGAGATGCGCCACCCACTCTAAATGAGTGACCCGTGAGTTTGACTCCAGCCTTCTTCCATACGTCATCAAAGATCCTTTGGCACCTAGCTTTTGTCAAACTAATCCTCTTGCCGTTATGAGGGTAAGAGAAAAGTGGATCGTCTTCTGTCGCATTCGTGCTCGAGATGAGCCGTCGTACAGCTCCCACTGGATCCAAAATCGACGGTTGGTGCTGACAATGAATCTCTTGAATCTCTCCCACCACCGCGGTCTTGGCCTCGCGTATCCGTATTTGTAGAAATTTGTTCTTTGGATCCCAAATGACGTCCTTTACTCGCACTTGATCAGTTTTGTTTGGTGGTTTCACTAATTCTCCAAGGCGATCCATGCCCCAAAAGGCCACGAGAGCTACAGTGTAAGCTACTTGACATTCCATATCTCCACCCGCTAAACTTTCTAACAGTCTAAATAAGTGTTCGACCATGACCGGATTCTTTGGGATTTTCGGTGCCTTCTCTAGTTCTAGCTTTGCGGCCGTCCGTAGTATTCCCTCAACTCTCGGTGTCGTGCCGTGTGGGTACTCAACCGCGTGAAATAAATGCCAAGCTTTAATGCCTGACAAGTAAGTTCTAACTGTGGTAGATTTGATTGGGGGAGTCCCTTGTCCTAAGCTTTCACTAGACAAAGGAGGGCTCGCCCAAACAACGAATTGACAAAGAATCGCGGGATCGATTGGTAGTAACATATTCCTAGGAATACGTTTGTCAAGCGCGAAGGCAAGCAATTTTGTCACACCCGCGTTGTAATGCTTTAGGGTTGAATCCGCCCAGCTTCCCGAGATGAGGTAGGCCTTCACTGGGTCGGATGATGAAGAATCAAAACCGTCTTGATCACGTCTAAACTCCATGATTCACACCGGGTTTGTCGGTCAATTTCAGAGGGGCGACTAAAATAGAGATTCTTGGTGTTGGGTCTCTCTAGAGAAATTCCGATTTCATCAAAGTCGCGCAAAAAACTCACTCAACGTTCGAGTGACGGGACTACCCGGGTGCAACTGGGTCATCTGACACCGGGAAAAACCCGACAACGGGGGCAAAAAAGGGGGGGAAGAAATTTCTGTTTCATAACGAGTATGTATTTCGGCCTCGATCAACGTACTACCTGTGTCACAACCATTCTGAGATCAACAGGAACATCTATTACAACTCGGTCTTCGACATCTCTCAAGTCCTTTCCCCTGGACAACAAATCCGCCATATTATCGCCTGACTTTACGCGGACGGCGACTAGATCTGCGTGCAGCTCCATCAACAATTTCTGTATAGCTTTCCATTCGTCGCTTACGGCCTGATCACCAGATCTTTGCTTTTCGACCGCAGACTGCGAAGTCGTGTTATCGGTAAGCACAGTGAACTTCTTTCCACCTACTTCGTGAAACTTAGTAATTATCAACAATCCTAACCTTATCGCAACTGTCTCTGCCCATGCGATATTCTTGGTAACTTCCCCTTTTCTTGGCAGATTCCAACCTTCTGTTAAAACAAATTCCGCCCACTTCTTTCCAATCAATACGCCAATACCGGAAAGTGAGGCGTCGCCTACCCACTCCAGATCTATGGGGGTAGTATCTGGAATTATACGCCTTGAATCGAAGCTGGACAGGACCACTCTCCACTCGGTAAGGTCAACTCTTACGTCTTTGGGGAGCCGTCTTTTTGCTGAAGGACATTGCCATTCCTTCTTCCATCGCCACAAACTTGGCATACAACACTGTAAGTGAGGAACGATGTACGAGGTATGTACCAGTCGTCCTATGAGCGTTTCCACATTCTTCAAATAAAAGGACTCTTGTGGGGCTAAAAATTCTATTATGTGTTTCAACCTTTCCTGCAACTTATCTTCTGGCAGGCGAACCGTGCGTTCTCTTGCATTCCAAATGAAGCCTATATAGCGCTGTTCATTGGCGAAATCATGGACTTTTTCCGGATTTGATGCCACGCCCATCTCGTCACTTAAACTGACAATGTCTTTGATGGTCGTAGGGTTGGATCTGTCTTTCACCAACAGATTGTCATCAACCCAACAAAAGGCGGTATCTAGTTTGAACGCTTTAACGATGATCTTCCGCCAAAGGTCCGCGGGTCTCCCAAAAACGCCACAACCAGCCACGCCACCAAATTGGATCCTGACATCCATCCAAAGTCGATTGTAAAGGTCCAGAACAAATAGATAACGCCACTGAGTTGGGTGAGTAGTGATTTGTCTATACGCCTTTTCCCAGTCGAAAAGCGCTAACACAAGGTCTCCTTTATTATCCTTAAAAAACATAATCACCACCTTGAAATCGTCCCAACTGGTCTCGAATTCACGCTTATCAACAAAACTATTTACCAAAGGAGTTTCGGGATTGTCGTGGGGAAAGGATAGATCATTGATGATGCGGAAGGAGCCATCACCATTGATGACGCTCCCCATTGGATTGGATCGGAAGAAGCCAAATTTTTCGTATACTTCTTTGTGAGTAAAGGGTCCAAAAATCCTTGATGCTCTTCGTTCTTTTGCTAACGTATTCTTAATTTTTTCTTCAGCTAGTCGAGCAGACTCGTGATTCTTGGGGGTGAACCACCTTCTTTTCCCCATGTTATGTTGTGGGATCCCTTGATGGAACCCAATCTCACAACCTCGAATCACCTCAAGAGTGTCTTCACCTATTCCGTGTAGCTCTACAAGAGATCGCCACCTAGGTATGTTCAAGTCAGACCGCGCGGTTTCCGCAGGCCATCTAGGTGAGAATTCAGCGCCAGAGTTACGATAGGGTTTCATCACAACCTTTTCGCCTCTTCCACACCATGAAACATCGGGATGACCTGACATTTGTGGATCTTCATCATCACCGCTTAAAGTCGCACAACTTTCCCAAAGCAAAAGGCAAAAGACAAGGATCAGGTGGGTCAGGAACTTGATCGAATGAGTAACAATCAATCACAAAGGTATTTATTCAAGGAGTAACCGCCACAGACACAACAAGGTTTTCTGAAGTACTTCCTCGTCTCTTCAGTGCATAGGCACACGACGACATCCTTTGAAAATAATTCACAAATCAAGAAAAAACGCGACCAACTTGGGGGTATGTGGTATCCTTAGACATTAGGAAAGACCGACAGTGACCCCTTTCCATCTTAGATAAACGGGGAACTAGACGAATCAATCAAAATACGTGAGTCCTATCACGGCTTACTTTGCCTTTCCGCTGCCTCCATACGGCTTGGACCCCCTATTGACCTCTTGTTCATCGTTACGACGATCATCCCGCCTATCATCCCGCCGCCAGGCATGACTGCCTTCGCCTCAGCGAGAACTTTCACCCTGCCATCGAGGGGGGCTCTGATCTCGACCACCGTTGCCACCGGTAAGGTATCCACCACCTTTTCCTCTGCCCCTGGTATTTCGACCACCAGTACGACGATCCTCCCAACCGTGAGAGTTGTAACCTACCGCACCCGGTCCCGTGTACACAGGTTGGTTTGAATGAGTCCAGGATCTAGCATTAGGTTTTGCGGCGTGGGTGAAACTGAAATTGTGTCCTAGACTAGCAACTTGTTGATTATTTGCACTGAAGGCGGAAGTCTGAGGAGCTGCACCCGTCCGGTAGTCTTCACCAGTTAAGGGGTTGATATGCTCTTTTGGGCCCCCAGTAGCGTAGGGGTTTGAGTCAGAGTAAGCTGGTAAGAAATCATTGTAGCGTTCGGTATCTCTGAAGCATTGGCGCTCGATAGTGACATTCCGCACAGCTGGGTTTGCCAGGTTCCCACTAGCATTTCGAATAGTCAAGACGGTCGTACAAATGGCGATGTCGTAACGGAAGGCCATAGGCCAGTTAACATTCTCTTTCATAATATCTAACACATTCTGTTTATGAACCATCATCTTCTTTGCTAAGTCGTCATGGGTATAGTGACGCAAATACGTGACGTAGAGATCAAAAGCAACGACCCATTCGCTGAAGGACATCTTCCATTCGACTGGGACAGCAAAACCGACATAAGAATCTTCAAGTTTTTCCTTAGTGGTACGACGTCGAAAGGAGTGTTGGATGAGGTCTTGGTGCAGCCATTGAGTATTAAAAATCGACAAAGGCAAGTAACCTTTCAATGCTACCATTTTAGTATCAAACCAAGGTGATAATGCGACTAAACCATTTGAGTCGATACCTTCTTCATCACATACGACTTTTGTCTCCTTGTCCACAGTTGTCTCAGCAGAGGTCGATTTCTCCGCTACATCATCTTTGACTAATTCAACAAATCCCACCACTCTACGTTTCGGTTGAGAAGGGGCGGGAGTTGATTTTGCCGAGGTCGTCCCGACTCCGGAAATAGCATTAACTTGTGCACGAAGATGGGCAGAGCCGTCGATTACGGCCAGGTTGTTGTCCAACGCAGTTGAGTCAGGGAGGCGTGTCAAGGTGAGCTTGTTTGCGGCTAACCAGGTATGAAAACCCTTTGGGGGGCTTACTCCCGTTTTGGTGATGGTACTGCGTTGTGCTGGCGAACGGATTTCTGTTTATTATAGCACAGGATACGACAAGACACCGATGGTTAGGACCTTGGACCCCGAGGAAAAAGGGGGGGGCACGTCTCCTATTGGAGGCAACATCGAATCGATGGCTACACAATTCCATTGTGGCATCGCAATACAGCGGCAACACCTACTAAGGTGGGGAGTATTATGATTTGTGGCTTACGTGTCGCATTCGTGCTCACATCGTCTCTCTCAATTAAACCCGTAGGTTGGCTCGTATCTGCCTCATGTGCTTGCGATGCATTGCCTTCCGCAGTAGCATTAGACGTGTTTGGATCAACTTGACCGTCATTGGTAGATTTCTCTGTCGTGTTATCTGTAGCGTTTTCAGCGGAAGATGAAGCTGCTGCAGCGTTTCTGGCGGCTGCGTTGGATCGTGTATTGACTGTGGACGATTTCTTGCCGCGGTTTCTTCCTCTACCTCTAGCGGACGTGGGGCGTGTAGCGTTGGGATCTGGGGTCGGTAAATCCGGCATCACGACATTAGATCTGTCATCGAGGGGTACAGATCCTGCCCTGTTGGCCAGTCTCTCGCTCGTTCTCTTCACATGTTTGTTGAATTTTACTAAGTTGTCTTCTATCCTATTTGGTTCCGACATCTTGAGGAGTTTGATGTTGTGAAAATAAATTTGACAGCAGGTTATTGAAAAATAACACTGTGAGTTGATGTATTTCGAATAGAAAGTGTTTGCAGGCTATTGAAGAATAGCACTGTAACTTGTTCTGAAAAAAAGGTGAGAGTGAGAGTGAGAAATGGATGAGCTGTCAGAGTTGACAGTTATGAGATAACTAGAGGCGAGGGAAAAAACTTGGGCGCAGAAAGAGGGAAGGAAAATTTTGGTGGGAACATAAAATTTTCCTTGCAACATTCCCCAATGTTTGCATACAGGGAAATGGGTTGCTTCTGTAGAAGCATACTCATACCCGTCCCGAGAAGCCCCGTCGCAATATCTCAAACGTGTCATGGAAAGCGGCGGTACCGTCGTGCCTTTGGGTACCGCCTATCATTCACAGGTTATATTAGGTGGCCACTTCTTGATGCACTCTGCTGCACCTGTCTGACCATCTTGGTTAGATCTGTTATTACAGGCCTCTTTCCTGTTCTCATTCTCTTGGCCATCCACACCTGACAATGAACTCAACCTGTTTGCAATCAACCAAGGTCTTGTCATGTCAGGTCTAACTCACTCTTTCACCTTTTGGGTGATCTCTCATTGGGGACTGTTCTTCCTTTCAACAGTTTGTCTCAAGTTGCATTCAATGGACAGACTTCTTGGTACAACACCCACTCACGCATAACAACCTTTTCCTGTTTTTCCCCCTTCTGGGTAAACACACTCACAACTACAACTTTGACTTTGACTTTGACTTATCTGTCTCTTGTCTCTATCTACACGATAATCACTTTTTCTTTTGTAGCCTTTTGCAAAGCAATCACTCTCTCAATAATTCCAATGAGGCCTATAATTGTACTTGTAATTGTACTTGGGTCTAGTTGCCGCTTTCTCCGCTCTTTCCGCTGCCTTTTGCACCCAAAAGATTGAAGTTGGCACCCACTTCCCTTTTGGCTTTCTCTCATTGTAAGTTTGATCTGTCAAAGTAGTGGGTAATGAAGCTGTCTGAGTACATAGCCAATTGATGTGTTGACTTTTTCTTCTCAATTGGTAAGCCAGTCTCAGGATTTATGTGTTCCTTAGGTCCTCCGATTGTGTAGGGGTTTGTGCAAAAGGCCCTCTCTCCAAAATTCTCACATTCTTGCTTTACTCCATCCAAGATTGTAGTCTGCAGCTCTGCTATGCGGCATATTTCCTTCCTGACAGTTAATCTCATAATCCTTGAAGTAATTTCCTGCATTATCTCAATGCCACCATCCAACCAATATTTTCCCTCAATTCACTAACTATTTCTTTATGAGCCTTGAAGTGTTCTGTTTGCATCACCCATTCAGCATTGGAAACATAACGTATAAACAAGTTCATTGAGTCCAGCCATTGTTCCTACTGCATAGTTAACTTGTCCATTGGAGATTCTGCTGCATAAATGTGAAGTGTCCCTTTCGTGATGTTTGATTCTGATGGTGCTTCTTTCCTGGTCCACATGGTTTGATCTGAAATTAGCCAGTTCTTGTCACAAACCAACAAAGGTATGTACACTTGGAATTACTTCATATAGCTTTGAAAAACAGGACTGAGTGGGATTAAGAGCTTCCCCATCTGCTGGTCTTTTGCTTTCAAGAGACACCATCCATTCTCTATAACATCACCATTCTTCAACTGCATTCACCCTTTTTCAGATTCCAGCATAAACTTAGCCCACTCCTCTTCCAACAAATTGTTGGGTCCGATTTCTCTTGGGTTCTGTCCAATCACACTTGCCACTCTTTTGATGCAGCCTGGAATCTCATGAGTAAACACCCCAGTTGTTGCTTCCAACATGTTTTCTTGAATTAGTCAATAAGGGGTACGTTCTTGGTTAGTGGTTTGACTTTGCCTTGGTCCTTCTTGCAAGTCTTGATGTTGCTGATCATGAGCAGGCTGCTCAGGTGCCATCATTTGCAGTGGGGTTGTGTTTCCCATCTGTTGAGCTGGTGTTGTGTCTATTGGAGGTCTCAGGGTTTGGTTTCTAACCCGCTCCCAAAAAAGCTTCAGCTGAGCCTGTTTGGACGTCTCCTGTTGGTTATTATGCATCCCTGGATTTGCCTTCTCCATTGCAATTGCCAAGAGCTCTGCACCCTTGTTGAACCTGTTTGTTGCATACAAGTAGTTGATTCTGGCTTGAAATTCCATCACACAGTCTCCTTCCACTAATGGATCACCCCAAACGATATTCAGGTCAGTAAACTGACTTCACACTTCAATCTAATCTCAGAATCTGATCCCTATTTTTAGCCGGGTATGGCTTGAGTTTTGGCCCTAAGGCACCACTCTCCCAATTTGCAGTCAGGTATGGCTCATCCTTATATGGCTCACTTGGTTTGACACCTAAGCCGCAGTTGCATTCTCATAGAGAAACTGTTCCTCAAATCGTCCGGACCGTCCTCTTCAAGAATTATTGTTCAAGAATAGAAAAGAAGACAAGAAACTAGGAAAGAAAAAGAGAAACAAAGAGAAAGCGGATTTGGAAGTTGCTGAGCCTTACCTATAGACTTATCATTGTCCAGCATTGATAGTTTCTACTCCTCAGACGTGTCAGGTGAAGTTTGTTTTTTCTTCCCTTTCAACACCGGGGGTTTCCATGACTCATCATTGTCATCTTTGTCTTCCCCTTGCTGTTGTCCGGGTTCTTGTGGACCTATGACGTTGATCTTTTTCTTTGCCACCATTGCTCCTTAATCAATTTGCATTCACTCTCTCTCCTCTTTCCTTTCCGTCTTTATCACCAGCTCCTCCACCAGTATCTCCACTGGTTGTATCACCACCTTTGACTCCAACACCAATTGCTCTTCCGCTACCTTCTCCTTGTTGATTTTCTTGATCACCTTCTTTCCCTTCTTCTAAGGCAATCACCACGGATTGTGCCCTAGTCATCCTTTGCACATTTTCCTCTGCTCTTCCTACTTTGGCTAGAATTGAATCATTTGTACCTGTAATTTTAAGTTTCTGTTTTGATTACTAAAGCTGAAAATAGGGGGGCTAGTCAAAAAATTTTACTTCTTTGATTGTAAAAAACTTTTCCCAATTCCATAAAATTTACGCAAAATTTTATGAAATTGGGAAATGTTATACGACATCCCAATTTTTTTTAGCAGCAAATTTGCATAAATTTACTGCTCAGAAGGAGATCCGGAAGAAATTTTTACGGTCCTTTTTTACAAATTGGGAAAAGTTTTTACAGCACGGTACCGTAAAAAACTTTCCCCAATTTTGTAAGAAAAGGTTGCAAATATTTTGACTTGAGCTCCCTTAATAGGGGGTTTCAAGTTTGGATTTTTTTTGCGTATTTTTTTAAAATTCAGGCAAGTTTTTCGTAAAAAAATATGTGTAAAACCAACATATCTTTAAATCGGGACACCTAAAAAGGTGTCCTGCTTTAAAAAAATTACGGATATTTTACAACAACGGGCAAGTTGTCATAGCGTAAAAATACTCAAAAAAAAGTCAACTTGAAACCCCCTATTTTATAAACCATTGAAATTGAATTTTACAACAAAAAGATTTATATTTTTCCTTTTGGATAAGCGCAGAGGACTTAGATTGAAAGGTGGCTTTTGAGTCAGCTGTCAAGGAAAGTCTAAGTATCCTCTCAGACTTTGCGGGAGGGATTTAAATCTTTCCTTCCCTCGACCCGATCCCCTCTCGGGCCCAACTCTCCAGCCCCACTAAGTCCCCATGCGCTCGTGAACCAACTCGTGCCTCGCCGGTTCTTTCAAGGTAAAAAGCGCATCTTGGAAATGTACCGTCTATGTTTACAGCCCTTTGCATAATTGATGACTTTGAAGAAAAAAAACCTCGAGTTTTCCAATAAAAAACCTTGATTTTTGTCAAAAAGCTGCTGAGTTTTTCAAAAAGTCAGTGAGTTTTTTTTGGAAACCTGGCTCAGTAAGTCTAAAAGAGAAAGAGCTCGCTCAGTTTTTGAAAAACTCAATGAGTTTTTGAAAAAAACTGAAAAAAACTCGCAGGTTTTTTTGAAAACTCAAGCGTTTTTTCTTTTTCCAAAGTCATCAATTCTGCAAAGGGCTGTACGTTCTCTCGGTGGTATCATGGTGACTATGGATGTTTTCAAAATGAACAAACCTTTGTTCGTGGAATAGCCGACCAAATTATATATCAGTTATGACGGTTTTGACCCGCTGTGTAATTTGTTAGGTTAGCTTCATCAGGCTTCATCCCTACAATCCTGCTCGAAAGATTGCTTTCAGAGTTAGCTCATACACGGGAGCTGGCAAAACTTTCGTATGCTCCTAGATCTGGTAGGAGAAAAAGTGGCAAAAACCAAAAAGGTCTAAAGAGCTGGTGATAAGTATATGCTTATGTTGGATTTAAATCAACAACAAAGCTGAGGACACACCTGGAGATGTGGAATTTGATGGAAGAATAAGAAGGTGATGGACGAATTGAGAAAAATAGCGAAATATGAGTGAGTGAAGAAAACAAATACAAGGCTACAGAAGACACTATTTATACAGCACAAAAGTCTTGCAGGGCCTACAATAGTCACACAATCATTCACACTACAAAAGTCCATTTGTTCCTTATTTCATTATCCATCTATACCAAGCCATCTTGTGTTCCAATACCAAGCCATCTTGTCCGGTCTGTTGTTAGTTATATGGTAACACTACACCAAATGTAATCTTTACCGGGCGGTAAAGAAAACTACTGACATAGAAAAGTCCTGAGGCAACAGGAAGAGAGCTAAAAATCTGAAAAAATATGCACCTTGTTCCTAGATGTTGGGGCGTCATGATGAGTATTTTTTTGTATTTTACACGCAGATATTGGTTAATGTACTAACAATAAAGGCTGAAAATCATCAAAAACCCACCTGTAACAATACCTGAAATTTGGGTCATGATTATAAAGACAATATTTTGTGGTCTAAAAACTTCAATAACTTTTGCAATTCTGCTCCAAATAACTCGATTTTTGGTTCATTCAAA